CCACTCTGAGGAGGCATCAACCACAGATTCTCCTGTGGTTTTGCTCACAAGGTCTAAGGCCATGTGGGGAAGGATTCCAGTTTTCCGTTCTCTGTCTTCTGGAAGCAAGGATGAAATCTCTCAGCTGCTCTCTCCCCCCCTTCCCCCTCCCCCCTTTGGCCCATTCAGTGCATTGATCAACTCTTGGTTCTCCTCCCCAGAATCGGAAGCACGTGACCTGATTTCTGTGTTTAGACAACTGACCAGATGTACCTTTCCCTTCAAATTTTCATGAGCCCTCCATGCCTATTGGCAGGAAGTGGCCTAACGTGAGGCTTCTGACTCTGGGCAAGGGGCTCCCTGTGTCCGCCTGCTTGACCCTGTTCCTGTGTCCAGAACTGTGGCTGTGAAAGGGCCAGGGGCCGTTTTCGGGGAGCCCCATAATAGAGCCCATCAGACGCAGACACATTATAGAAAACATGGCCTTGAGGCTCAGCCTCACATAAATTGAACATGACAGGAGGAAAAGTTTAAGTATGATCTTGGATTGAATTCAAATAGGAGCTGCATTGGTGGCTTGGGGAGGTCCCTTCCACGTGTGGTCTCTGTAGGTACCTGGAGATGGGAGGGGGTGCGGTCTGCTCCAACGTGGCCGGGGATGACTCCCACCCAGCCATTCCTCAGTCCCCACTCCAGGGGAAACCATGACCAAATGGATGACTATTTTCTTGACATTTCTGGCCTTTCTCAACCACAGGGAAAATAAGTGACGTAGGTATGTGGAATCGAAGGAAAAAACTGTGTATGCAAAAGGAGAGGTCACTTCTGCCTCTAGTGTTAGATAAAAAGAAAGAAGCCTGACTTATGTTAATGTTTTCAATAAGCACCAGCCACCCCAGAATAACACTGGAATTTGAATCATGTGAGAGAACTTGATTCAATCACCTACGAAATGGCTATTGGATGAAAAAAATGGAGGGGGAAAACTGTCTGATGAGTGACCAGTCACTTTCAAAGTGGTTTCTCCTACATTACCTCATGTTACAAAAAGTAAATTTGATCTTTTTGAATGTTATGTGAAGCAATTCATCATTTCTTGCGGTGAGCCGAGGATGTTACACTTATAAACGTGCCAGTTGTGAACCAGGCAAAACATTCTCTTCTGCTACCTTTTTTTTTTTATCAACCAACACAGGTTCATGGGGGAAAGTGGCTAATGATAGCACTTTAAAATGGGCTTTAAAAAATTATTGTTTTAACAGTGTGTTTTTTCTCTTTTCTTTCTCTGGTTCCTTTCTTTGAATGGACTATTCCTTGCATTTGAATAGATTATTATTTAGCTTTCACACATACCATTCCCACCTCTCCTCATTAAAATCTCATAGTTGTCAAACTTCATTAAGATAAATGGAATTATTCATCTGTCCCCCTACCCTCCCCACCCCACCCCTTGGGCTATGGGGTCAATGAAATGATGTTAAGCAGGAGAGGGTAAGGCTGGTGAAGACTTTTAAATGCCACAAAGTAATGTCAAGAAGGAGTTGGCCTGCAGTTGTACTGAATGATGGTTATACTCTCAACCTAATGGCTGCTAATGACTTGACATAATAAGTGTGCATTATTAGCATGGCTGTTTGGCTGTTCAAAACTTGCATTTTGTAGATGTTATCCCTAGTAGTGGGCATTTCCTAAACTCATTTAAAATACATTTGAAAAGTAAAAATTGGAACAATGCAAGACAAACCAAACCCTGAGACTAACACGTAGTCAAGGATGGCAACCAAGAAAGAAAAAGAAACAAGAGTATAGCCAACCTTTTTTTTTTTTAATTAGAGTATATTATACTTCCAAACTGGATACACTAGAAATTGGCAATGCAACATAAGATGCAAAGGAATATACCAGTTACTGTCAAAATGACCCTGTACAGCCTTGTAATGCAAAAAGCTTTATACAATACAAATTTTCAGTAATGTACACAAACCTTGAAATGATCATCTGAACATAACATGAGGGGTTAAAAAAAAAAGAGTAGAAGGAAAGTGCTGAGAACACTAACTGCATTGCTATGGGGGAAAATAAGCTAGCTTTCATCGAAGGATGCATAGTGAAAACAGCTGAAGTTAGTTGGCAGGTGAATTTCTCAAAGACGTTAGTGTTTTACACGGAAAGGATATCTGTGGAATACATCCTTCCCTGAGTATCAAACTGCAAACCAAATTCTGGGGCGCATATTACCTCAGTGGAGTCTGAAAAATGCTGTAAATTTTTTTCTTTATTAATAACAACAATAATAATATAAAAAGTCAAACAAACTCCAAACACACCTTTTCTCACTCAGAAAACTTTTTTTTTTTTTTTATAATTTACCAGAAAGATTGATGACTCTTTCCAAAGTGCTAAAAAAGTTGCCCAATTACATTAAGCATAACGAAGTAATTCAAATACAAGTTCAGTGGCAAGCAGGGAAATACACGGCATTCGAACGGGAAACGTCTCCTTCCTTCCAACGCCTCTCCCGGCCTCGCAGGTTTCAGCCTAGGACCTCATATTGCACAAGGGGCATGCTGTAAGGGCTGTCGTCCTGATAGTCAGGGCCGCCCTGACAGGTTTTTAACCTGCTGGTGCCATCCTGTGAGTCACCTTTCCTGCCAGCCTCTGTGGGATCCCGTGGCCCTCTCTCCTGTCAACACTGAACTTGTAATTTTGAAAGCACATTATTAGCCAAGTGGCACATTCTCCATTATATGGGGATAAAGACATAACTTAAAAAAAAAAACACAAAAAAAACAAAAACCAACCCACCCATTAGCCCGTTATTCTTGGAGTGTATTATACTTGTCTATAGTGTCTTTAGCTGAGACAGTGACATGGTGAGGTTGGTTGGTGACTCACACATGGCCAAGAACAGATGTCTGCTAGAGGATGGTAGAAGGTGCAGAGCTTCCCGCCCTAGCCGGCTCAGCCTCCCTGTCCCCGGGCATCTCCGTAGTGTAAACAGGCTTGCCAGGGCCCGTGACTGGCAAAGGGAAGTGGAATAGACCTGCTAGGTCCTGGGGGAAGAAGGGTATGTGTGTGTGTGTGTGTGTGTGTGTGTGCGTGCTGGGGGAACCATGGTGTGGACAGATGCTATGGCCTTCTGGCTTCCCGTACAACTGTACCAATTTCAAGGGGGCTCTCAGCGAAGCAAGCTGACTAGAGGAAGGACATCAGGGATGCTTTTATTTTCCCCTGGTGAAACGGGTGGGAAAATAAAATAAAATTCCCAACTCTAGGATAACACCTGATGGAAAACAGCAATGCAGTAAGAAGCATTCCTCCTGTACACAGTTGTTCGAGTGATAAATAATATATAAACTTTTATATCCCAAGCTTCCCATCATCATACAAAGCACATTTCTTCCTGCTCTTTTAGCCTGTTTCATACAGGAAATGCTGTTGTTTTAAAATACAAGCGCTTAACGTATTCAACCAAAGATTCTTTTCCTCTTCGCCTTTTTAAATCACCCATTACTCTGAAAGATTAGCAAAGGGCTACGCTACCAATCACACCTGCTTCTTGCTGCAGTAAAGTGCTGCACATAAGTTGCCATTTTAATGACCACAAAATAAGAGTTTTAAATAAGTATAAAGTTAGCCTCCTAGCGGATTACATCCACCAGGCGTTAACAAAATGGAATACAGAGTTATTATCAACATGGAGAATGCCTCCAGAGCCAGGCGACCTGCAAACACAATGGACACATCTCAGGGGCATAAACGGAACCGCAGGACTGAACAGCACCTTGTTTTTGGGGTGGTTATATGTCAACGAGCTTGTGACAAAATTTCCAACTATACAGTCTACTCGTTCCATATAAAAGGTACATTTTCTTTCATTTTCATTTTTCTTTTTCTTTTTTTTTTTTTTGCAGATGAGAAACAAAAACTAGTGCAAGACCAAAGCACTGTGCAAAACTGCCATTTCTTTCTTCTTCTTCTTCTTCTTTTTTTTTTTTAGTCTGAGCATTTATACCCAGAATTGATCCAAACCCCTTTTAATCTCCTTGGCTGGATTTATCAACCATAAAATTTTCCACTCATACTATTTTTTTTCTTCCTGCAAACAAATGGTAACCACTGAATTAATACATCATCTCTCTCTATATATATATATAATCTGCCCTTAAAAAATGATGCATGCGTGTGTCCCACACGCATGGTGTATGCATGGACACACACACACAACACACTTAAGTTTTGTGAGGTTGGCCCCAGTGCTGCGGGACATTTCTTCCAGACGGGACTCCTGCTGCCTCGCGTCTTCGTGACCAGAGGAGAGCCTGCACGAGCCTCCGGCTCTGTGGGAAATCTCCAGCAGCACCGTGGGCGTCTACCGTTCCTTCATGGACCGCGCACCGGGCCCCACCACGCGGCAGCCGTGAAGCGGGCGGTGAAGGAGGGGCTCGGGGAAGGACTGCAGCGGATGAACAACCCAGGAGGGAAAATCATGTTCATCACGGCGAAAGAAGCCAGCACAGAAGATGTGCAAAAGAAATCTCATGGCACACGACACACGGCTTTCTCTTTCGGAATCCACAAACGCCCACACACCCCATTCACCCAACAGAAAACAAACAAAAAATGCAGCGGTAGGTAAGCTGACAATTGCTGATTGCTATTAAGGACACTCTCTTTAGGGCTGAGCAAGACAAAAACTCCTTTCGGGGAAAGGCTGGGAGCAGGGCCAAGAGTGGGCGTGGGGGCTGGGGAGGCATGCCTCTGAAGGTAGATGTACGCAGTAGGTCACCTCTCTGGAGATCGGATAAAGCAGCTTTCAGGTCAACGCAATAGGTATACACACAGAGCCCGTTCTCTAGTCCTTCCGAAAGATGGACATACAGTACACGTGGTTCAGACCCACGGGGGGGGTTCCGTGGGTTTTGCAGCAACATACACCTGCTGGGGTCGTGTGTGAGTTTTGTGGGTTTGTGTTGTGTCTGTCTCTGTCACTTCGTTTTTGGTACGGAACATGCTGCCCTTCAGACAGTCTCTGCTCTTTCTCTCAGTCCGAGATAGGCGAGGAAGGAGTGTTTGGGGGACGGGATGCTGGGGGGCGCCGTCTGAGGTCGGGGAGGGTGGAATGTGAGATCCAAGTGGTTCTTGGGGTACAACATTGTCAAGGGAATGAGATGGGCAAAATCCGAGTTCCGGTACTTGTCAAAGCGCAAAGGGGAGCCGTCGAAGGCCAGAGCCTTGAGTGCCAGGTTGGGCTCCGAGCTGCTGCCGTGGACGGCGGACAAGGCCACGGTCTGCAGAGCCTGGGAGGCGGACATGACCGACAGGGGAGACAAGAGGTTCCGAGAGCTCCCGACGATGAAGAGCGGGGCCCCGGGGCCGGCTGGCTTCTTGGGGGCCGGACACAGGCCCTTCCTGTCCTCCTCGGGGCAGTCCCCACTCTGGTGCTTCTTGACGTGGCGGCTGAAGACGAAGGGGTGTGTGGTCTTGAACAGGCACTCTTCGCAGCTGAAGGTCTGGCGGGGGGCGTGCTTCAGCTTCTTGTGCAGGTTGAGATTGTCCTTGCGTTTGCAGCTGTAGCTGCACTGGTCACAGTGGAAGGGCCGCTCCCCGGTGTGGACGCGCACATGCTCGATGAGCTTGTTGGCCGTCTTGGACAGGTAGCCGCACTGGTCGCACTTGTAGTGGTTGCCCAGGCGGTGCTCCCGGGTGTGCGTCTCCAGCTCCAGCTGGTTGGCCTTCACCATCTGGCAGATCCGGCACTTGTACTCCATCTTGTAGTGGGTCTTGAGGTGGCACTCCATGGCGGCGGGGCGGTTGGTGGAATAAATGCAGAATGGGCACCTGCGGGGGAAGCAAGGGAAGGGAGGGTCAGCCAGACAGGTCCCGCCGCGGCCCCGTGTCTCCCCTCCTCACGGGCCACCCTGCAAACCCTGAGGCCTGGCTGCCCCTGCCCAGCCCAGCCCTGCCCTGCTGCCTCTCCGAGGTGAAGAGGACCCTCTTGGGCTCTCCGTGCCCACAGAGCAGGAGGAGGAGCCAGCTCTGAGGAGGGGCGCTCGGCCTACGCTGGGTCTCCTGGCGGGAGCAGCGAACACCAACCCTCAGGAAGGGGAGCAGAGAAAGGGTGAGGATTACGTTAGCTGTGGCTCCCCTCCATCCTCCCGCCCCCTCGGAGCCCTCCCCGCGTCCCCTCCCCCTTCCCCCAGGGACACAGCAGAGGTCTAACCCTCACGACCTCCCCTGGAGATGGGAGCAACACAAAGAATCGACGTTTCATGCACCACACCAAGCACACGCAGAAAGGCTCAGAGTTTTAAAGAACAGCTTACAGGGGAAAGCTACCTCCAGCAAACAGAAAGTCGTAGGCTCAGAATCGTGCTTATGAAAGGTTAGGACGAGAAGGCCTGTGTGTGGTGTGTGTGTGTGTGTGTGTGTGTGTGTGTGTGAGTGTGTGTGTGTGTGTGTGTGTGTGTGTGTGAGTGTGTGTGTGTATATAGGTCTGTACTCTAGGACCTGTCTCCTGCAGCTGTTTCCCCACCAGGGCAGGAAGGGGAGGACTGGGACAGGGGCACGGGAGAAGGACGCCCACCCCTGGCTGTCTGCAAAGGAGGGATAAGAAGGGAGGGGGAATGCCCGCTCTCTGGAGCTTGAAGACATTATTCGTACATTATGACATCATCATGCTCAGGGGGCAGGACCACAGCTAACATTTCCTCTGCATTCTGCCCAGTGCTTGGTGAGTGCTCAGCTCATGGTAGGCACTGTGCTATTATTGGACTGGTCTCTACACATACTTGAGGCAGATTCTGGCCCCAGCTCTGCCACCTCACTGGGCTCTAGCTGGATACGCCCTGGGCCGAAGCCCGGGCCTCTCCGTGGCTCGGTTTCTCCACCCTCCGCAGTGAGGCTACGCTCCCCGCAAGCCTCCTGGCTGTCTGGAGGGGCCAGGAGGAGCCGTGAAGGCGTGTTTACAAATTCTGCTCTTTGAGAAGCTGCCGGGCTCGAGTCAGTGGCTGATATGATAGCGGTAGCGTGTTTGCTCTCTTTACAAACAGAATGCGAATGCAAAGGTGGCTGCCGGAGCTCCGGCCGGGCTCCCGCAGGGCAGGCCCAGGAGCGAGGTGTGCTCTGAGGGTTTGGAGAAGTGTTCAGCAGAGCCCAACACAACCAGGTGCACCGTGCACTGCTCCTCAGCGCCAAGCTCGCCGTCAGCCTCGGACCCTCAGCTCACAGAAGAGTGCACACGAGAGAAATAAAAGCCCATTCCCAGGTCAGGTGCACACACAACCCCTACGCCAAGCTGGGCCTTACCTAGAGGAGTCTGAAACTCACCACTGTCCTGAGCTACGGCAAAAGAAAAATAATAGTGTAATCTTATTCGATCTGCATTATGAACAGGATATAGAGTACAAGCAGTTCCATCACAGAAAAGCAATTTAGACATCGGCAGTCTGTTTCACTTTAAGGACGTTTCTGTGACCCACGGCTCAATCTGTCTTGCGCTGCTCAGGGGAAGGGCTAAGGGTGCGGCAGGGGCCCGTTATTTATCGTCACGGCACTCTCTCAGGCAAAGGAATGCTCCGATATGGCAAAGGGAAAACAGAACAACAACAAAAAAACAAAACAAAAAACAAAAACAAAAAAAAAAGACTCACTGTATAGCCAGAAGGCTTTATCAATTTTTTTTCAAAGTATTCTTCTACTTGGTCATCCTAGAACATAAACTATTACACAGGGGACCGTTAGCACCGCACAGGAAGTGTCTGCACCGCAAAAGCATCGGGGTCACTGTGCGTTCTCCCCAGTGGCTCGGAGCCTGGGACCCCTCGGGTCCCCGGGGAAAGGCTGACTGGCAGGGCCATGCCTGGCCAGGCCGCAGTGCATGGTTGTGACTGGGCAATCGGGGAGGGCAATGAGCATAGTCCGACCACAGAAGTCTATGGCTTTTCTTTACCAATAAGAGTGCACACATGTTTAGAAAGGGACAGTGGGAACAAACCAAACCAAATTCCCATTTACTGGTTGTCTGGAGTTATAACCGCCCCTCCCCCATCCCTCCAGACCTCCCTTCCCTCCCTCCCTCCCACCTAAGCACCCCCAAGACTGAAACAAAATGGAAATCCACAGTGGGTGTTGCTCCCTGACTCTGCTGTTTGGGCAGGATTTTGAGGAGAGTCCCCCTGACCAGGTAAGTGGGGGGTGCCTGTGCTGCGCCCCCAGCACTCGACTCCCACGGTCCTGGGTCTCTCCTTCCCACGCCCAGTCGGGAGAGTCATGCCAACCCTCCGGCAAGTTGTGTTTCAAAGGCCAAAATGTTTTAAGACAAGGTTTTTTCCCCCTTGGATTAAGTAAAATGTAATTTTTCATTCATTGAAGTGACATGAACAATTCCTGCCTCGAAAGTTGTGTCTTTCTGTGCCCAATGGCATAAGCTTCTTTCTCTTTCCTATACCGTAAGTGCCTTGTGAACAGGGACCCTGATTACCAACTCTCTGGAAGATTAAATTCTGGTCATGGTAGGACGTACACATCCTGAGGGTGGAAATTAGGTTTTATTCCTTATTTGCCCTCTAGCACCTAATCAAGCCAGACGCACCGTGCACTGGATAATGATTGATCAGTCTCGCTGCAGACCGAGGGCTTCCTGCAAATATTGGTTGATGATGATGCTAACTGCCTAAGTCTCTGGGGGGAGGAATCTGTGAATACGTGACAGAAAACATCAGCTCTCAGGCGGGGAATCCCAATTCCAGGTCCCGGGAAGGCATAAGGCATGTCTGCAGGGACCTGAGAGGCTCATGGGCCTTGCGTGGGAAACGCTGCCTCCTGCCTGTTCAAACCGGCAAGGCTCCATTACTTGGGGTGGGGTGTGGATGAAGTGGCTGTGATACTTATTTAAAAGATACATGGCAAATCGCCTAAAAAAGCAGATGGTGAAGTGCAGTGACAGTGTAATGATTTACACTTGGGGACACTAACCCAAGTCCATCACCATCAAATCTGAACAAAACCCAGGCAGTGCGGGATAAGTCTACCCCTGCGTGCTCAGATGCTCCAACATGCCTTCCTGCTTGCTCCGAATCCTGGGTTATTTATACAATGGATTCTCCTGCTGCTGTCTGCTGATCCCCTTGGGGACAGGTCTGATTCATACCCAACTAAAGGCAGCAGAGGTGCCTGCCTAACTCCCCTCATGCCAAGCTCTCCCTCTCCATGACCCCAAAATCTTCAGGGGAGGGGCCAGGGTAAGGGTTGGGGGAAGGGTGTTTAATAACAACGCAGTAAAAGGTTCTGTACTTGCTTTCCTTACTTGAGCCCACCGGTGGGGACAGTGTGGCATTTCTTATGCTCCAGCAGCTGTTCGGGGGTCTTCATGAACTTGTGGCACACGTCACACTCAAACATCCGGGTGATGAGGTGTATCTGCAGATGGCGCTCAAACATGTTCTTCGTCTTGCAGACAAAGTTGCAAAAAACGCATTCGAACCCTGGAAGGACCGAAGCTGGGTGTACAGGTGCGTGGGGTAGAGGGACAGGAAGGCAGGAGCAGGGCCGAGATCCCCTCTCTTCACCCCTCCCTCCCTCCCCCCCAGTTTTTTATACGCTTCCAGACGCTGTTCCCTGCATCTCAGTGCTAAAGGAAGTTACAGCTTTGGAGTCAGTGTCACACTCCCCATCCTTCCACCCCATATTGGGTGCAAATCAAGCCAAAAGGAATGTTCTGGGACCCAATATCTACTTCCAACATCACTCCTGACAAGGGGTCAGGCCTCCAAGCAGGCCACGCCACCTCCTCCCTTACCTTTCTCGGGCTTTTCCTCACTAGTCAGTGAGGGCTGGCTCCCGGGCACAACGGAGATGACCAGCAGGTTGTTCCCGCTCTTGTTTTTCTGGGAGCTGTCTGAGTCATCTTTGCTGTTAGCTGAATCACTCAGAGCTGAGAGGGAGGATGATGAGGGGCTGTTTGATTCACTTGGGGTCTTCCTGTCTTCCACTAAAAAAGAAAAAAGAAACCCAAGTCTGTTATTCAGGAGATGGAAACCCTGGCATAAACAGAAGTTGGGAGGTATGGGGTTGTGTCCCATGGCTACACCATCATTCGGGGGGCATAAGCTGTGGTCTCCAGCTCCTCTAGTGCACCTGCTGGGGTCCTAGGTCGAAGCCACCTATGGTGATGACACTCATGGTACTTGGGGCCGAGAGCAGGCCCTCATTCACTTGATGAAGGTTTATGGATATCTTACTATAATTAAAATAAATGACAACGGTAGCTAAGTGTACTGAAAGTGTTGCCAAGTTCCAGAATCTCGGCCATGCTTTAAATGCCTTGTCTCATTTTATACTAAAAAAACAACAACACCTGGGAGGCACAACTATTATCACCCCCATTTTATAAATGAGGATGGGGAGCCACAATGAGGTGAGTCAGTTGATCTGACTTTAGCATCCATGTTCTTCATCAGTGCACTGAATTCTCCCTCAAAGTCAGCAGTAAACGGTCAATAGACCATTAAAATCTAGAGTCAGTAGACTTCTGCTTCCATTCAAGAGATGGAATTTATCGTCGCTACTGAAACAACTAACAAAAAGACAGTCGAAACATATCAAACAATAGTTTTCACAATATTGGACACCAGACAATGAAGAAGAATGACCCCTGAGAGGCAGGAAAGACCTTCCAGACTGCAGTGTAGGGAAGGGTATGGAGGTGGAACCCAGTTGACCTGCTGATTTGAGGAGACAGGACTGGTGGTCTGGGAGCTCAACATGGCAGAACCTTGAAGGACAGTATACTAAAGGGGAAGAACTCAGACACCTACAGAAGATTGCCGGGAGTATTCAGCAGAGTATGGATGGAAACATGTGTTGGAGAGAAAATAAGCCATCTGAAAGGCTTAGAGAACAGTGCCTGTTTCCACCAGCCAGATTGGAAAAAACTTGTAATTCCTAAGGCAGTGGGTAGAAAACAGGAAGTTCTTTTAGTAGTGGGTGATAATTAGCCCTAGATGGGGCACTGCTCCAGACTCTTCTGACAAGTCATAAAAGCAAGACCCAAAAGGATCAAAGTTTTAAAAATATTTATAGGAATATAAAGTATCTGGTACCTAATAAGGTAAAAATCACAATGTCTGATGCTCAAATAGATTCTCAGGCATGCAGAGAAACAAAACACAACCCAAAGGGGAGAATATCAACCAATGAAAACTGACCCAGTTGTTGGAATTTGCAGACAAGGACACGAGAATGGTAATATAATTGTATTCCATATATTAAAAAAAGTTAAGTAGAGAGATGGAAGATATAAAAAAATACCCAAATGAAATTTCTAGAGATGAAAATTACAATGTCTGAGATGAACAATACACTGCATGGGACCCCTAACAGTTTAGATACAGTAAAGAAAGGATTCATGAGCCTGAAGATACTAGCAATAGAAATTATCTGAGATGAAACAGAGAGAAAAGAATCACAAAAATAAAAAGAGCACCCAGTGAACTATGGGATGCCTTCAGGCAGCTTAGTAAAAGCTTAATTGGAGTCCCTGATGGGGCAGGGAGGGCAGGAAAATATACTTGAAATAGTAAAAACTTTTCAAATTTGAGGAACACCATATAACCATTGATCCAAGTAGTGCAATGAGTCCCAAGCATAAGAAAGATGATGAAATCTATACAAGGGACATCATAATCAAATTGCTCAAAACCAGTGATAAATAAAAAGTCCTAAGAGCAGCCAGACGAAAAAGGACACATTATGTGCAGAGGAACAAAAAAAGGATGACAGCAGATTTCTCACTGTACACAATGCAAGTGCGAAGGAGTGGAACAACATCTTTAAAGTATGAAAACATATTTCACAAGCAAAGGCAAAAGAAAAAGGATATATAAAATCAACAGTGGGTGACATTATAAAATGTGTTCCTAACTTAACAGGGTAATTCATTACATGGAGACCTGAATTACAAAGAAATGTTAAAACAATTCTTCAGGCAGAAGGGAAATTACACTAATGTAAAAATGGATCTACATAAAAGAATGGAGAGCACCAGAAATGACAACTACATGGGTAAATATGTGAGTTTTTCTTATTTAAATCTCTTTAAAAAGTAATAAAATAATTTTGTTTAAAAAAAACTATTAATAATGTAATATTTATAGCACATACACATATGAGAACAATAACATAACAGCTGGTGGGGAAGAAAGGAAGTATGCTATTGTGAGGTCTTATACTACATGTGAAGTGGTATGGTACACTGTGATAAATTCAGGATGTACTTATAAATCCAAATAACTGGAAGCATATAATATTCATGGTTCAGGAGACTCAACATTAAGATGTCAGCTCTCCCCAAACTAATTCAGTGTAACTCCATAGTTTATGTTAAGGTGAAAAATATAGGGAAACTGTACTGCAGATCCAAGGAGTGGACTTATCCTACTCTACTTACATATTTCATTAAAATTAAATTTTAAGTTAAAATTAATATTTTTTTGGTTGACTTTTCCCCCCACAGATAAATTCCCAGAAATGGGATTACTGGGTCACAGAGCATTACATTTTCAAGTCTCTTAGTATAAATTGCCTAAATAGTTTCCCCAAGTTCTGTTCCTTTGCAGGCCATAGACACAAGAGTACCACCAGCACCCAGCAACAGTGGGTGACACTATAAAATGTGCTTCTAACTTAACAGGGCAAGACAAGCCACTCTTGAGCTTTACCTTGACTGCTCAGTGAGGTTGAGCATTTTTTCTTATGTTAAGCAATTAGCTTTTACTTTTTTTTTTTATTTATTGTGAATTGACTGTTCATGTTCTTTCCAAATTCTTAACTAGAGACCAGAAGTGTTTCTAACCCATTTATTTGCACTTTCTAAATAAATACATGAGCTTTTTGTAATTTTTACAAACACATTTTCAGAATGTAGGTTCTTTTTTTGTTTCCCTTCTCTTCTTCCTTTCTTTTGAAAAAAAAAAAGAAAAAGTTTTTATGTATCCAATCTCTTGATTCTTATCCTTTGTGATTTCTTGTTTTCCATTAAGCATTTACAAATCTTTCTTGCTGTGTTTGATGAATATTCTATTCTATTTTCCTCAAGCCTTTCTAGGACAGATAGTAAACAAGGATTGTGTAGGTTATTTTGGTGTCAATGTGAGGTAAATATTGATGGCTGTATTTTCCAAATAGCTATTTAAATCCCTCAACCACCATTATCACAACTTTTAAAAATTGCAGCAAAATTTGCATGGAGGACTTCTCAGCAACAGAAGAAATATTTCCCCCTTGCTGATGTTCTCCGCAGGAACAGGAGCCCGCAGAGGGAGGAGAGTAAGGAGGCGTCACTGCAGAAACACCCCATTCCCAAGCATACCTTGGCTAAGAGCAGCCTGTAAGGAAGTGAGAGGAAGCACGTGGGTTTTGTGGGTGACCAATTATAAATTTTGTGTTGATTAAAGCTCATCACAAGTTCATTTAGGGAACCAGATGGCATTGCAGATCCCCTAGGGCACTAGAAGAAAAGGTGCCTGTTCCTGTGACAGGTAAATCCAATTAGAGAACAGGACTCGTAAAATTAGAGTTGTGAAGTCCAACTCCCCTCCAGCCATTGTGGTTTCTATGGTCTTCTTGAGGTGGGGTGGGGGGCAGCGGAGGGGGGTTCTGAGCTGGGTTTAGGCATACTGTGGGGTGGAGAAGGCTAAAAGAATGGGAGAGGAACAGAAAAGAGAGTCTCTGAAGAGCCTGTGGAAACGGGAGAGAAGCTGGCTTCCCCTCCCGCAGCCACTCCAGAAATGCTGGATTTAATTTGTCTTCGACGTGGGTTTCCCGGCTCACCTGCTGCCCACGGCGCTAATGTGGTTATGGTCAGACAACCGACTGTAAAAATGGCACCTTCTCACTCAGCAGAACCACTCTCTGCAGACCTCCAAGTCAGAGCTGCTCAACTTACTGACAAAAACAAGCTTTTATTGCTGTTGGCACCACGGAGCCAGGGCGGCCAGGAAAGCACAGAGAGATCCTTCTTGACCATGCACATCGTCAGCACAAATGTCAGGGAAATTTCCCTCCCTGAATCCTTCAAGTGCCAGCGATGTGAGGGGCCGCTCGGGCACCCGGCCCGCAGTCAGCAGCCCCAGCTTGTAATTTGTAGCCAGGGCAGGGAGCTCTTCCTGTTCCTCACAGAATGACTCCTCGTCAGTGTCATTTGTAACCATCACTCGCGAGAGGATAATTGCGTGGCAAAGTCAAAATGTTAACTTCATTAAATAGAAGAAATTAACCAGAATGGCAAGAGTCTGAAATGAAAGGGAGCCCTGGCAAAGGCGTGGCTGCGGCCCGGGGAGAGAGTGCGTCGATTCAGGAGCATCTGGTGGTCTTTGCCCCTGAACAGATGGGCTACGTGGCATCACGGAGCGTGTTAGGGCTGCAGAGTCATGCAAGGAGCAGAGCTTGCAGAGGTAGGTGCATGGTGCCTGGCCCAGCAAAACAGAGAGGTCCAGCCTTTGCCAAGGTTTGGGTGGGGCTGCCAGAATGTCAGTGGCTCAGAAAGAAGGTTCTAGAATGATGACTGTTCTGGTCTAAGTTTCCGGAGTCATAGCCTAAGGTTGACCATGGACAGAATATCTCCCCTCTGGGAGGCCTCAGCTTTCAGCCTCTGTAGTGTGGTAACAGTAGTATGGGCCTTGGGGGTCGCTAGGAGGCTTATGTGGGACCCAGCGTACATAGGTGCATGCCTGGGGCATTGGGAAAGTGATCGCAGTTAGTAGATGATGATGGCAAGCAGACAGCTCAGTCCCTCTCAACCATCCCCACCTGTGAGTGTGTCAGATCAGCCGGGGCACAAACCGTGCCTGGCCATGGCGCTGTGGCCACAGGGACGTGTGGCTCTGCTATCCCCGGGGACGTTCTTCCTTCAGAGGAAGGAGGTGCCAGTGTCACGTGGCGATGAGGATGCTCCTGCCAGGTGGACAGGCAGCCTGGGGCGGCAGGGAATGGAGGAGAAGGGCCGGTGGGAGTGGTCACCTGTGTGCTTGGTGCCGATGTGAGCCTTTATCTCTGCCTCCTCCATGGTGACGAAGTCGCAGGCGGTGCAGCAGATGGAGAACATCCACTGCTCCTTGTCCACATGGAGGGACATGTGGCTGACGAACTGGACGTTGAGCTCGGTCTCAAATCCACACACATGGCAGCTGCATGAGAGGACGAAGGAAAAGGGTGGGGGGGGGGAGGAGGAGCGATATTCTAAATGCAGGCTACCCACTCATGCCCAACACACCCGGAAAACGGGCTTGTACACACTGCCCTCCCCATTAGGAAATTCTGCTTGCTCGGATGCCTCTGAAGTGGTCGCTGGGCTAAACGGATTTAGTGCCCGAATAATGTGACAATCCCATACACGCTATAACGATGCTAAATAATCAGAGTTAATTAAAGATTCCAGATTCCAGATGCTGCATGCCTTCTCACGATTCCTTGTGGTAAAGTGATGCAGCACAGCCTTGCCAAGACATGAGTGCGGCTGGTACACGGAGCAGTGTGGCACGCCCTCCACTCCCTGGAGCCTCCCCTGCCTCCACTGCCTCCCACCTCCTCCCACCGCCTTCCACTGCCTTCCACCACCTCCCACTGCCTCCCCTGCCTCCCCTGCTTCCCACCTCTTCCCACCGCCTCCCACCGCCTCCCACTGCCTCCCACTGCCTCCCCTACCTCCCACCTCCTCCCACTGCCTCCCCTGCTTCCCACTGCCTCCCACCGCCTCCCACCTCCTCCCACTGCCTCCCCTACCTCCTACCTCCTTCCATCGCCTCCCATCGCCTCCCACTGCCTCCCACCGCCTCCCACTTCCTCTCCTGCCTCCCACCGCCTCTCACTGCCTTCCACTGCCTCTCACCGCCTTCCACTGCCTCTCACCGCCTTCCACTGCCTCTCACTGCCTCAGGAAACCTCCTTGGTAGCAGTGAGAGCACTCAGGTCGTTGGATGGCACTCCTGCCTGTGACAATTCCTGGTAGAAGCCACCCATCCATGGAAACATTTCATGCAAATGCAAGTTTCTACCAATCCCTACAGCCTCTCTGGTGGGTAAGATTTGGGGTTTTATGGCATCCAAACCAAATACTGAATTTATGGCCAGAATGGGAAAAAGCCATAAAATTCCAGAGACTAAAGGACAAAACACGATTCGAGGAGAAGAAGCTATAATTTCACGGCTACTTCCTCAGGGTCTTATTTTTCCTAGTCTTCTTTCCTTCAGATACTTCTCAGGAAGCAGCAAAGTGCTCAGTTACTAGGGCAAGAGCTTGCCAGCTGCCCAGCCCTGGAAGCTAATAATCTCCAGAGCGCTGCCGCTCTCTGGAGCTCTCCCCCTCCCCCCCCCCCCCCCCCCCCAAGAGCCACCTCTCAGATCATTTCCCTTTCAACTCATTCCACCAGGGCACCATGGCAGGGGAGTCATTGCAACCGTAGGGTCTCCTCTAAGCAAAGCAACTATGACAATGCAGGCCAGTGCATCTGTTGAGCAGAGGTGCCTGTCAGGCCTGCCTCGCAGCCGGCAGGGAGGGTGGGAAGGCTGGCCTAGGGTTCCAGCCCCAGCTCACCTGTAATAATAAGGGTGCTTCCTCCCGTCACTGCCTTCAGAGGTGACGGCGCTGACAATGTCCTCAGTGTCCGTACTCACCAGCTTCACCGAGTGGACGGTCAGGTGCTGGTTCAGGTTCGCGCGGCACTTAGCAGCATAGGGGCACAAGTGGCATTTGTATTTCCTTTCCTCTGGAGGAGAAAGAGCAGAAAACCCCCAGCTGACCTGAGAAATGAAATCCCACCACCTTGCAAGAGACCACTTAAGGGTATCAAGGAAGAGGGGGTGGAAGTGTTCAAGTCTCATTTCAAGTGGGGACAAAGGGAACACCTTGGAATTGTAAGTCTCTAAAAAGTCTTTACCAGCAGGTCACTCCTGTGTTAACATTTCCAAAGATACAAGAAAGTCTCCAGCCAATGAAATCATCTACTTTTTCCTGGACACCCACAGGTAAAGGCGAGCTAAAAGCATATTAGTGCGTGCGTGCGTGTGTGTGTGTGTGTGTGTGTGTGTGTGTATGCATGCATAAGAGTGTGAGTGTGTGTGTGTGCGCGCGCGCATGAGAGTGTGCTGTGAGTGAGTGTGAGTGTGCGTGTGCGTGTGTGAGCACACGCCTCCCCACGTGTCAGGTGTGGGTGGGTGCTAAGCCAGGGAAGGAGGAGTGAAACCGTGTTCACAGGACTGGTGAGTGAAAGAAGCTCCATCATTTTCCCTAAGCTCCAGGCCTGGGTCAGCCAAGAAATAAAAAACTAATGAAATTAAAGGAATAAAAAATGACTCATGTGAAATAATTGAATTGGAAATTTACATTTTACATAAATAAAATAAAATTTCTCAATTACTTTCTTAATGGGAACTCTCTCCTCGCACTGACAGTGTTTCAGGACTGTTTCCAGAGTGGCCGTCTGAATACATTTGGTGAGTCAAGCAAATTAAAGTAAAAGGAGCAGCCCCTGCTTCCACTGTGCAGATCCAGGCGACGGAGGGCGGCGGGAGACAAGAGCTGCTTCATGCTCTGCCCTCAGCGCTCTTCCTCTGAGAGACTGAGCTGGCCTTCGAAAAGACAGACACCTGTCTTGTCTGCTTCCCAGGAAAGGACACAGACAAAGGACACAGACAAGCTTCCCCACAACAACATGTAAGGCATGGCTATTATTTCAGTGATCTACAACATCTGAGGGGCTGCTGGCCTGGGCTCAGCGGGGCTCAGGAAAGGGGCCCTGAGGTGCAGAAAGGAGAGTCCTCTCTGGAATTTTTGCTTTTGTATTATTAGTGAGCAAGGTTGTTAATTTTGGTATTAATGTGAATTGCTGAACTTTCTTTTCTATCATTTGGAAAGGTTTAATAATACTGGGCTTTCCTACCCTCAAAAGGTTACAAAGAACCCATCTGGACCTGACACCTTTATCAATAATATTATCTCCATCGTCTTTCCAAATTTCCCTTTGGTAACTGATTTACTTAAGTTTTTAATTTTTCTCCCCTGGGGTCAGTTTTGGAATTTTGCTTAAATTAGTTATGCCATCTACGTTTTTAGCAGTTCTTTTCTTTTTGTCATAGAGTTGCCCTTATACTCCAAAAATTCTTTAATAGCATTAATGATTAGGCTTCCTTTTCCATTCCTAATTTTGAATAGTTTTGCTTTCTTTTCCTTTCTTAGTCAGGATTAAAGAAATTAATCTTTTTTGTGGTCTTTTTCCTCCTAGATTTTTTTTTTTTTTTTGCCAGTTCTTTTTAATCCCCATCCGAGGATATTTTTCCATTGATTTTTAGAGAGAGTGGAAGAGAGAGGGAAAAATGTAGAGATATATTGATTGGTTGGTTCTTGCACCTATCCTGACCAGGGCTGGGCCAAGTAGGAGCCTGCAACCGAGGTATGTGCCCTTGTCCGGAATCAAACCCAGGACCCTTCAGTCCACAGGCCAATGCTCTATCCACTGAGCCAAACTGGCAAGGGCTCTTTTACTAGTTCTTTAAGATGCATGCTAAGTTCCTTTCTGTATTTCTTCTCTTCTAATTAAAACATTTAAGCCCATGAATTGTCCTTTGACTACAGCTGAAACTGTTTTTGTTCCAGGCCTAGGAATGAAGTGTTCCCCTTTTCATTTCTTCTAGATGTCTATAATTTGAGTTTTTATTTTTTTCCTTTTCTTTGACCTAGTGAGCTAGAGCATTTTATTGACCCTTGGTTATTTTAAATTTCATTTGAGTATGAGCAGAGCAAGTGACCTATAAAACTCCACTTTTCTGAACATGTTAAAGTTTTCTTTGGGCTTAAGTATATGATTAAATTTTGTCTAGTGAATATATATATATATATATATATAAATATATATATCTTGTCATATTAATACTGCCTGTCCTGCCTTCTTTAGAATTTCATGTGATATGGGAAATCTCTACTTATTTTCTTTGTCATTTCCTATAAATTGGATACATCTGAACTTTTAGAAAGTCTGATCTTGGGTGTAAATATGGAAAACTTTATTTTATTATTTCTATTTTGCTCTATGTTTACAATAGATTCTACTGTATTTCTTTTTGTCTTTACTTATTTTTTCTGCATTAAGTTACTCCTGAACTTGGTTGCTTTCACTTTCCCAGCACACAGAATCAACCGTAGTTCTTTATTATTATATATAAACAAAAACAGTACCTGTTCCTCCACCATGTGTCCCTACTGCTCCCTCCTACAATAAGATGGGATACAGATCCATCCCCTGTGCCAACAAGGTCAATACATTCCTTAGAGTTGAGGGAACTATGCTTAAATGTGCATCTTTTTTCATCAATCCTCCTAGAACTCTAGGAGTCCTTTCCATACAAACAAGAAACCCTATCCAGGGCCTTATTTGAACACGCCCAGTTAAATGGCCTCAGGAGGTCATGATAAGACACTCCCATCACTTCCTGAAATAATTCTCTACAGCTCAGCTTCTTGGTAATGGAGACGCTGGCGATCCAGACCCCGGAAGGCCCAGCAGTGAGGCCAACTCACCTGTGTGCAGCGAGAGGTGTCTGGACAATGTCTGCTGTCGGCCAAAGACTTTCCCACACACATCGCAGGGGAAAAGCTGGTCATTGAATTTCCAAGAGGGCAATCCATTGCCTGCCTCTAGCACGAGCTTTTCTGTCTCTGTACCAAAAGAACATGAGGAATAAACAAGGCAACACGAACGAATTTCAGTTTAGTCGACATTCAGGAGTTAAGCTAAGGCTTCCTTCGATGAAGGTGGTTGGTAACTACAAAGAAGTCCTCGTAACCGCTGGTCTTCATGCTCATGTGCTGTTTCTGAGAAGGCTATTCTTGAACGTTATGGTGGCTAATTTATTCCAATTTTAGTTAAGTCTCCGGTGTTTTCTTGCTTTCATCACCAAAGGCCAGCTGGCCCAACCTTCTAGTAGGTGGATAGCATGGTTTAGCACTGTGTCCACCGTACAGTCAGTACCCAAAAAACAACAACTGCGGAACAAGTCAATGCTTGAGTTGCATGTTAAAATTCCAGAAATGTCGACTTTTGCTACAAGGTAGTAAGTAAATCAAGAATGCTGAATCTCAGATTCTGATGAGAAAACAAATGGATAGATTCCTTGAAAGGAGATACCCTTTCACTGCCCTTTATGGGAAAAGTCTTGTGCTATGTTCAGAAGGGTTACACAAAGTCTTTAATGAGGAACTTATGCTACAGAGAATCTGTGATGACAACTGCAAGCTGCTTGCTGTGGTCTGAATGTTTGTGCCCCTCCCCCACAGTCATATATTAAAACCCTAATCCTTAAAGTGATGGTATCAGGAGGTGGGGCTTCCAGGAGGTGCTTAGGTCATGAGGGTAGATTAGTTCTCTTATAAAAGAAGCCTCAGAGTTCCCTCACTCTTCCCACCCTGTGAGGACACAGTGCAAATATCTGCGATCCAGAAGAGATCACATGCCCACACTGGCACCCTGACCTTAGGTGTCTAGCCTTCAGAACTGTGAGAAATACATCGAGGTTGTTTATAAGCGGCCCAGTCAGTGGTATTTTGTTATAGCAGCATGAACACACTAAAACACTCTTGCACAAAAAACTCCCTAATGCAAGATTGCACAACCTGAATTTATCCCAAGGTTTAAATTCTTGGGATTTACGTTCAGAAAACAGTGAGCACCACAAGTTATCTGTATATAATTCACAGCCATAAATGAAATAAGTGGATGTTAATACATTCTTTATCAACTTAAAATTCTTTTATTGTCTCATCATCATCCATAGGATTACCTTAAATTTCCTCAAACTTATTTCTTTTCACTGAACTCTAACAGATTGTCCTATATGATAAAAAGCTAATGTGCAAATTAACCAAATAACCAAATGGCGGAATGACTGGTTGCTATGATGTGCACTGACCACCAGGGGGCAGACACTCAGCACAGGAGCTGCCCCCTAGAGGTCAGTGCGCTCCCACAGGGGGAGCTCTGCCCAGCCAGAAGCTGGGCTTATGGCTGGCACATGCAGCTGTGGTGGTGGGAGCCTCTTCTGACTTCATGGCAGCACTAAGGATGGCTTAAGCTGACAGTCAGACATCCCCAGAGGGCTTCTGAACTGTGAGAGGGTGCAGGCTGGGCTGAGGAAGTACATGAATCTCTTGCATCGGGCCTCTAGTCCTTTTATAATAATGCTAGAGGCCTGGTGCATGAATTCATGCACCAGTGAGGTCCTTCAGTCTGACCTGTGGGGATCAGCTGAAACCAGCAGTCCTATGTCCCCTGAGGGTTGTAGTAGTGCATGAAGAGGTAGGCGGCCAGGGGAGAGCCTGAGCCCAGGCAAGTGCCATTCTGCTGCTGGTCATCCCAGTCCTGCTATGCCTGCCGCCATCACTGCTCAGTAGGCTTGCTGCTGCTTAACTGTAGTCTCTGTGTGCCCATCCCAGGACCATACTGGCACACCCGTGACCAAGAAGTAGTAGTAGGCTTGTGCCAGTCAGTCCCGCTGCTGGTCCTGATCCTAGTCCGGTCCGGATTGGAGAGGGGCGCACAGGGGGAGTGTCCGTGGGAGAGACATGCATTGCCACTGCAGCTATGCTCACCAGCCATGAGCCCAGCATCTAGCGCCCATTGGTCAGCTGAGTGGTGCTCCCATTGTGGGAGCGCACTGACCACTAGGAGGCAGCTCCTGCATTGAGTGTCTGCACCCTGGTGGTCAGTGTGCATCATAGCTACCAATAGAGTGGTCTAGGGGTCAAATGGTCGCTTAGGTTTTTATATACAGGCATTCCTCAAGTTACATAAGACTCAATGTACATAATTTTATAAATAAATCACCATCTCCCATTTATTTATAAAAATAAAGTTCCATCATTTTGACGTATGCACATATATACTTTATGTTTTTTTATTATTTACCACAAGGTCAGGGATTGTTACCTTTCTTTTAAAGTTTTTTTTTTTTTTACTGTTTTACTTCATTACTGCTGTGTATGTGCTCCATGTGAGTGACGTAGGTGCTTACGTAGGTGGGTTCCGACTTACAACGAAAATTGTGTTACGTTGCGCCATAGGAACGGATCTTCAACATAACCCAAGTACCTACTGTATATAGATAAGAAGACAGGTGACAGAGAAAGTACCAAAAAGAGGAAAGAGGACGTTCCCATGAGGACAGCTGCCTGGTCACTAAAAGGCCTTTAGGCCTTACTTTGAAGAAGACAAATAATTTACTGGGTTATTATCTTGCCCTTTACCTCAACAAATTACTGTGAATCTTCTTAAAGCACAGTGCTGCTTTATAAAGCCAGGCACTACGTGGTGCTAATTACACAGTGGAAAGACTTCTCATAAGATCCAAGCAGGTGAAATTCTCAGGCCACCAGTCAGAGACAACTTCGAAACAAAGAATTTCATCTCATGCAATTTAGTTAAAATGTGACTGGATCAACTAAAAGACCGCATTTGAATGCAGACTTGCCAGATAATATAGTCTAAGGAAAGGAGAAACAAATCCAGTGGGTGTTTGGAAAGGGAGAGGTGGGGGGGAGTGATGGAATGACAGTGAGATTGCAATAATGTTTGCTGTGAGGCACTTGCCATCAATGCCAACAGCGATAAGGCCTATTGATTGCTGTGTTTGTTAAAACACTGCTCTTTGGAACTCAGAAACAAGAGCTAGTCTTATTAAAGTTGGAATATGTGACTGAGAAATTCTAAAGGGGAAGGGGCAGGATTTCGGGGGGTGGGGTGAGGGAAAAGGAAGGTGAAAAGATGGGCCATTGACCTGCTGGGGACAACAACCACTCTGAGATGACTGTCCTGGAGTCCAAGCGGTGGGCATTTCAGCCACACAGCGATGAGAGGGTGTTTTAGAAGTTCCTTTAAAGTGTGTAATCAAAACAGTGCTTCAAAGCAGGATGATAGTCTTAATTACAAGGAGAGGTCAAGAGGGTACAGGGTCTTCCAATACATTCACAACAAGAATGAATTAATTGAGCCTCATACCAAACAAGCAGATGCAATTCAAAATAAAGAAGTCTCTTAATTCTTTCAAGTATTAGTCATGCACTTGAGAAGTTGAAGCATCATGGAAAGTCCAATCCCTTCCACTGTTCTTAAAAATCTATTAAAACTATGAAGGCTGTGCTTCAGCGAAGCAGAAAGAACAGCCTGCAGCAGTGGTGAGCAGGCCAGAGCCACCACGACGGCATCCGTGGCCGATGCCTTGTGCCTGGACTCCAAGCCTGGTCTAAGGATCAGCTCTCTTCCCACCTGCTCTCTGTATTCACTTCACAGGCACAAGGCAACCACGGCCATTGGGATCCTTTTCCCAGAACATGAATTTGAAGTCACAGCTGGATGAAGCTGTGGGAAGGGTATTACAGACGAGACAAGTATTGAAGTAAAAGGGCCATTCCTCTTTTCCCGGAGCAGGAATGCAGCTCAGCAGATGCCGCATTTCTCCCACATTTCCTGTGAATGGCACCGCCCAAATGCCACATGAGAAACTCCAGTCACTTTTTTTTTGATTCTTCCCTTCTTCCCCGCTCAGTCTTTTAACCCATCCAATCATTCTCCAGAGGTTGTCCATCTTATCTCAGAATCTTTTTTTTTCTTTCTTCCTCTCTGTCTTTCAATACATCCAACCAGCCACCCAATTGTCTGTCTATTTCTAGGGTGAGTCCAGTGATGGGCACGCAGCAAGGTCAAGCTTCTGAACGTCCATGGTCTGCCTTTTTGAAACAGGACTGGCCCCTTTGTCACGGAGAGCAGCCAGCTGTAACCGTGGGTCCTCCAGCTGGCTGCTCTCGCATGGAGGAGGCATTCCAGAAAAAGAGGGGGCATGTTTTGTCCCCAGGTCTTGATGATCAAAAGTTTTCAAAACTATTTTCAAATATTTAAACTAGAAACTATTGATGAAGACATATTTATAAAAGCTGATATACAAGCCTATTCTAATCTCTGTGCATGAGCAATATTTATGGTAACCCTACAGTAAAGAGACCGCCATGGGACAGTGTTGAGTGTCCTGTGGCTGTATAAAAAAATAAAAATAAAAAAGATATGTTTTTATTGATTTCAGAGAGAGAGAGAGAGAGAGAGAGAGAGAGAGAGAGAGAGAGAGAGAGAGAGAGAGAGAGAGAAACATCCATGATAAAAAAGAATCATTGGCCAAAATCGGTTTGGTTCAATGAATAGAGCATCGGCCTGCGGACTGAAAGGTCCCAGGTATGATTCAGGTCAAGGGCATGTACCTTGATTGCGGGCACATCCCCGGTGAGGGGTGTGCAGGAGGCAGCTGGTCGATGTTTCTCTCTCATCGATGTTTCTAGCTCTCTATCCCTCTGTCTTCCTCTCTGTAAAAAATCAATAAAAATATATTTTAAAAAGAAAAAGAAAAAGAATCATTGAACAGTTGCCTCCTGCATGCCCCTACTGGGGATCAAGCCCACAACCTAGGCATGTACCCTGAGAGGAGAATCAAACAACATCCTCCTGGTTCATGCGCCAACACTCAACCACAGAGGCACACCAGCCTGACTGCAAAGCTCACAGGCACCATTCTCCACCCGATCACAGTGCACTGGATAAATCAGCCTGGGTACCCCTGGGGTCACTGGGGTCATGTGCTGCAGGTTTAATAGAAAGATATCATCCCTCAATTGTGTGT